ATTTCCCATTACAAAGGACCTTGTAACTAGAATTATGTTCCAAAGACTAGAGCTAAACCCTTATGAACTAGTAACACATGCTACATGTCTCTCACTGTATTTAATGCAGTGGTTTCCAGCGAGTTTGTAATAAATGGAAGCTGATACATATCTGCCTCAACAATAAAAATGTCTTTCACCATAGCAGGGGAGAGGTTTCCATTAGTGTCTGTCTGCCAGGGCCAGTTCCAGTAACTAAACCAAAATGCATTTGGGCAGATTCCTTCTTCAGCATTTGCAGTGGAAGTTGACGCTATGGAACACACAAGGTGTTGCACGCTTACTGTTTCTGCCTAGCCCATTAATAATCAATCCTTCATATAATTTCTGTAGTGTTTAGTTTTGCTGATTAGGTAAATAAAAGTATACAAGATGTGAAGGTTAAAGCACAGTCTAATGCAAGGTTGTCTTATTTCTTGCCACGCAGTGGGGCTGATTCACTTGCCAGCTGCAGTGCTGACTCTGTACCTGCCTGTGATAAATTCCAAAGAAAACCATAAAGCCTGTTCAGTCTACACAACCTCAGGAGATCATTCCCAGTTTACAGATTTCCTGACCATTTAATTTAATCACACACAGTGTTTCTACATGCAGTCACTATGTTTTGTTTTGGAGCCTTTCAAAGCCCTTTGGCATTGAAGCTTACAAACAAAAGAGCAAGCAGCAGGTGTATGAATTGTGGAAAGATTTAAAATTCACCTTTGGTTTCACAGTCTTGAAAGGAAACAGCACCTTCATACTTGGTCAGAAGCCCACCGCCACATGGAAAGCAGAGGGTCCTTCCTGGTTCAGGCTGGTATGTACCAACAGGACAGACTCTACAAGGCTTAAAACCATCTGAAGAATAGTGTCCAGGAGAACACTGCCCTAGAAATAAAAAAGGATCATCTATCTTAGTAAGCTGACTTTTCTGGACAAAGTATAAAACCTCCTTTAACTTAAATGTGTGACATCAAGACAGCTGCAGATCAAATTCTAATCTCACCTGCTGATTTTTGTGTTGTTCCTATAACTGCTTCCTAAAAACAACACCAGTAAGTACAACTAGTTGCTTAATAAGCTCTTTGCTACCTATATTTTTGTTTTGTTTTGTTTTTTTAGCCAAGGCTCTATTAAGATGTTGTTTGAATACTTTGTACTTTCACCAAGTCTTTCATCTGAGAATTTCAAAGCACTTTGTAAGAAAAAATGAATCTTTGCACTATATCTATGAAGCAAGTAATTTTTTTTTTCCACATCTCCATTTTATAGATACAGAAACGGCAGATGATGGGATTTACCAGACTGGATGGGACCAGCCAAGCACCCTGTCTGTAAGACCAGCTGACACCAGCAGTTTTCCACGTAGCTGTGAAAACTAGTGCTCATCAGAAGCCCTTCTGCCAGAAAATGGTGATCTGTGGAAAGCAAAGCACTTTGTGAATGGGTCTACTGACAGATACAAGGTAGTTTCAAAACTTGCTCTCCAGGCAATTTCTGAAGGGCATTTGCTTGGCTTGGTTCTTGCTAGCTTGAGTACTTTATGCCTTGACACCCTACCTGAGAATCAGGATTTCACGTTTTTCAAGATTATGGCATTAATGCATATCTTCACACCACCCCAGCCTGGGAGACCCGGACTTTGAGACGACAGATGTTCCCTGAGGTTGCCTAATCCCCATACTTTGTAATTTAGCTTCCCTGAGAACTCAACAGCAGGCAGAAACAACTTGCTTGAAAATCGGAAAGCTCTGAGAGCTCTAGGTGGGGTTGGGATCTCTTAAGAACCCTGATACTTGCTGGGAGATGCTGGGGGCCCCCAGTATCTTAGGTGCATGGTGCTCAGGATGAAATAGAGATTCTGAGCAAAAGCAAAGTTCAAGTTCTGTCCTGACAAAAGTCAAACTCCTATGGACACCTGTGGGACCAGGATTTCTGAGATTTAATTTTGCTCCCATCCCAGCTGTCTGGAATATGACTGTACAAGCTAGCTGTTGTGACACAGACCTCTGAGAAATATTATGACGTTACTAATTTGAACACAATTCTGCCATTGTTTTTGTAGCAAAACTGATCCAGCTAGTCTGGTCCCGTTGGTCACTGGACTTTAACTTGAAGGCAGTCCAAACAAAGAGTGGATTTGGCTCTGGATTTTAGTGTGGCTTACAGACATCCTTTTAAAGAAGAGGTACAGTTGGGTTTTAGTACTGCTAAATACCCAATGCTTTCAGCACTAATATGTGTCAGTCCTTACCTGTGTGTAAGAATCAGCTAACTTGCTTCCTTCTTGCCTTCTGTATTGAAATTGCCAACAAAATTGATCTGAGGTGATTTCCCTGAGAAATGCCCCAAATGACTAGGCTTCCTGACTTTGTTTTGGCCCTATACCTACATGGATCGCATGTAATTTAAGTATCACAGCATCTTACTTGCAGCTACAACATGGAGTTCTATGCAACAAGCACTTAAAATCTCTTACATTCTTCTTGTATGTGCCTCACCTGTAGGGGTGAGGGCTTCAGTTATAGCTTATTTGGTACTACACAGGCATTACTGCTCCGGAAGATATAATGCAAAAATACTATTGATTACAAGTGGTGAGTACATTCCTAACAAAATCTGTGTTCATCAAAATACCCTGTTTCATCACACATGCTGACACATTTTATGGAGGCATACTGATTTTGATAAAATCTTTGACAGGGAAGTTTATGAAGTCCAAAGCATATTCTCTCTTGCCACTTTCAGAGAAAGAGAAAATGGAAGAGTTGAGCAGAAAAACAGACTGTTGTGATCTGACAACAAACATTCTGAGACAGACCCACACTGCAAAAATAATCAGAAGAGTTTCTTTTTGTTGTCGTGCAGAACAATAATTCAAATGCAAACCTTGAAACAAAATAATCTTTTTTTTCTCTAGTCATTGTGCTGCTTTGCTCAGTACACTATATTCAACCTTTATAAACTCAGGTTTTATTTTGATTTTTTCTGTCAGATTTTGTCTAAATACAAGTCAACATAACAAAGATGCACAAGCATTTCAAGAATTTTTCTGTGATAGTTCCTTCATACAGTAAATCTGCAAAATCCACCATATGTTTGGATTGGAGACACTAGAGTTATTTTTTTCTTCAGTAGATGGGGAAAAAGCAGCCGTTTCTCAAATGTCATTCATTGTGTGTTCACTCCAGATATCCTTGAAGAAAGCATTGATGTAAATTACATGGATGAGCTTTAATGTTAGCATGGATTTCTTTTGAAGTCATATAATGTATCTATTATAAACTAGATTTTGCTCATCTGTAATGAAATAAGGTAAAGAAAATAACTAACAGTTGTGTCTTAAAACCTTATCTTGACCAAGTTACAGCAGAAGCATTAACAAACTGAACTTCACAGCTCTCTTCTGAAACCAGGTTTTATAATCATTATAATCTAATTTATATATCATGAAGTTGAGTCAGAGATGCTACATCACTTGCCAAAAGCTGCAGTGAATTCAAGCAGCGTTGAAACTTGTAGTCATTAGTTCTGAGTCCAGGTTACAGATTGCTGCAGCACAGCTATCTCAAAATTCTGATTGCTGTTGATTAGACCAGGTAAACTGCATCTCATGCGAAACATTAAATCAGCAGGTTCATTAGACTCACCAGTACCAGTCCAAAGTAATCCATCCCTTTGGCTCACAATATACCTGATGAGTCCTTGCAAGTCGAGGTATGTCCAGATTCCATACCTGACTTGAAGCAAAGTGCTTTGCTTGGCTTGCTCATTTCCATACCATAACTCACATTGCTGCAGCAGGTCCCATCTTCTTCTTGGCAATGTCAGCAGATGGAACAAGCCAAAACACTTTGTGTATTGCTTGTAAGTGCACAGAGATTTCTTCTGTTACCTTTACAAGACAGAAGTGTGGAAGGCTCTCCCCTCTTTTAGCCTCCATGCCTCACAGGCTGGGTGGCAAGACCTAATCCTGTTATAATCAAATTAAACTTGCCTCCACATTCTGACACATTCCGGGCGCCCGCCACTCCCTGTCCATCATTACTTGGGCAAGGCTCACAGTTAAGTTGACCTTCTGTGTCTTGGTATGTTCCTGGTGAGCAAGGAATGCACTGATTATGTTCTCCGCTATAAAAGGTGCCCATGCTGCAGGTAACTGAGAAAAGAAAAGGGGAATCTACATAAGGACTTTCATTTTAATCACATTACTTGCCTTTATATCAAACATTTAGAGAAGATGGATCTCTTTGGCCCCAGTATTATAGTGGAATATGTTAGTCCAGGATCCTCACCTAATGTAAACAAGCCCATATCCACTGCGGTCTAGGTCAATTTACATCAGGGCGAGGTCCTTCTATTCTTTAAGCTATTAAATGGCATTGTACTGCACTGAAGCGTTTATCAGACATATGTTGTTAATAAAGCTGATGCAGTCTTAAGCCAGGATATTGCAGTTTCATTAAAACAGCAGTGCATAACATATGGGAAGTGACGTGAATTTTTAGTTTACACTAGGTGCATTTACGTGTTGGTTTTGTGGCAGACGACTACAAAAAGTCTGTCTCCTGAGACCAGTTCTAGAGGTTTCTCTGAGGGCAATGTATCCCATGTAATATTTTATGTCTCTTTACACTCAAATACCCCAACTGGAAAGTGTTTTAAATATAGATATGAATACACATGCTTTTCTTGCTGCAACAGGGTGCTTTAAACATTTTTTGCTGCTGGATATATGTAGTTAACATGTATGGGTTTCTAGACACAGGTAGCAACAGTCTTTCAATACAGCTTCTAAATCACTGCTCCTATATGATGAAAACAGCCGATGAACCAGGCACCTATCAGATCTGCATTTAACTATTTCTTTTTGCTTGTGTTTAAAAACACTTGGTGTCTAAAAGAAGCTGGAAAAATAGATATGCTGATTTTGAAAAGATGACTCTAAGTGATTAGAAAGCTTGCAGTGCTGAGAACTGCCATTAATAGGTTTGCACTAGCACCTTGCCCCCAGTAAAGCACTAGAGCCTGGTAACCTGGGAAAAGGCTTAAAGAAATTAGGTATTTTACATAAAGTTAAAATAGGTTTCTGTAGATTTTTTTTTAATTGGACCTCTTGAGGGTTAAATATAAATATATCCATGGGTCACAGATTATTTGGTGTGAGGAAGGAGAGAGAGGTGATACAGAACTTAATGCACAGCACCTCGGCAAACACCATATTGTTGTTTTACAGAATTGTAATTATGTTTTCATAAGATGCTGGGAGCAACTGGGAATTAATTGCCAACATTGCCTTGTGACAGGCCTTGATACATACCAGCTGACAGCATGGGAACATACGCACATATATGCTCCTTTTGTTTTCCTACAATCATTTAATTAACTCCTTTCAAAGTCTTTTGAACCATCAGTGGTCCATGCACATATGGTGAGTAATAGTGATCTAACTCATCTGTTATCTCACAGATTTCTGCCTGGCTTGCTAGGGACAAGTTAATTTTGGATGGCTTGTTCTGGGGGATATGGCTGGAGAGAGTGCTTGGGACTTACCGCATTTTCCATCCTGCAGCACTTGACCTGTACTGCAAGCTTCATGCCCTTCAGTAGCTTTAGCTGGCTTCTGAGCCACTTCATATTCTGTCCCAGAAAACTGAATGTAAAATTGCTGTTTATTAATAGATTTCCTCAATGTTTTGATTGCAGTTTGCAGCTTCTGCTCCATCCTTTTCCGAACACAGTCAATGTTACAGGTGTCTAGATGGGAAATGATAACAAAACTAGAAGCAATTGAGATTCATGTTTAAAAAGAGGTGCTTAACAAAAAGCTTAGCCTGTATCGTACTATGACACCTCTGTTTGCTTCACTGTCTTCTCCATATAAATTGTAGAAGCAGTCTTCAAAAATCAGGCCTTTTAAAGGGACAAGACAATACACTGAGGACCATCAAACTGAGCTTCATGGCCTATAAGTGCACACTGAGTGCTGATATCTTATTTCTAGCATTGAGAAATCCGGTTATACTGCGTGCACAGGGAGGGGGCTGCAGAAAGCATCAATCCCACTGTGTTGTACTTCCAGATATGTGTTTGGTCTGCCACCATTAATGTTTCTGAATTTTCTCTGCCTGTGCTTTACTCAGTTGATTAGGAATTCTTCCCACTTCCCTGACCAAAATACCTGAGTGACAAGGAAAGGTGCTTTCTGGCATGATTACTGTTTGAAGCACTTGGCTAGGGAGGTACCCCCTCAGGGTTAAGAAACCTGCCTTTGAGGAATGACCTGTTTATAAAATTCAGCCCATGTTTTCTTTGGCTGGATTTTATAGCATAATATTCCATCCCATGAATAACTTGAAGCAAACTTGAAGTTTGTTATGAAAACAAGAATTTTCCAAATCTGTGATAAAAATGTTTGATTCTCAGACTGAAGTTTCAGCAACTCACATTTGGAGGATATTTTTATCATTGTTGTTGCAGAACTTCTAGCTAATCCTTGCATTCTCTGGGCATCAATTAGCACTTCTGCTGTTTAAAGAAATCAGATTGAATTAAAGTACATGATTTAACTCAAGGCTTTGAAAGAATTTTACCATAGGTTCAAGCTTTTTTTCCCTTGGCTTAATTTCATACCTGATTCCTTTCAATTAAATCTCTGAAACTTTGAGTTTGGAAAGGCTGTTGAATGAGGCTTATGCTAAAAGGTTTACATGGCAGCTTGATGAAATAGCATCAAAGAGATTCTAACAACACACTGAGGAACTGAATTCTGATTTCTCTCCACAGACAGATCTTTCACAAACCTGAGACTTCTTCCGACTTCATCTCCACTTCAAACTCTGCAGTGATATGGGACACTTCTTTTGATGGTGACTTGCGGCCTCGGCGTTTTTTCTTGGAGGAATCACACTTGAGATTCACAAAGGTCACCTGGCAGTTGTCTGTACAAGGGAATTGACCTCCTTTGCATAAGAGAAGTAACATCAAAAAGAAATCAAGTAGCAAAGTAGCAAGTGACAGGCTAATAAGCAAGATCTCAGATGGGTTATCATGAATGCAGTGATAGGCTTCATAACATTTCACATGAATTTTCACCACCTCCTCTGTGCAATTTTGGGTTTGCTCATTTTGGTAGTGAATGCAGGAGGCGAAAACACACTGTGGTGATGCTCAGCTGCACAGTGGTACCTCCAATGCCTACAACTGCCTCTCTCTTTTCTGCGTAAGGATTAGAGAGGTCTTTACAGAAATTAGCTAAGATCAACAATGCTATATACAGTTGTTTGATAGTTAAACAAAGCTAGAGAGTCAATTTTCATAAATTCATAAGAGTGGCAGGCCTAGGCCTCTAGAAGCTAGCAGCTGGGATTCCATCTCTTTCAGCAATGACAATCACCAGATATCAAAGGCTTTAAAAACCTTTGTTTGGGAGGTTATGAAAATATATTGGAAAGCTTTACCTGAGGGGAAATCATAGAATCACTAGGTTGGGAAAGACCCTTAAGACCATCGAGTCCAACCATTAAACTAAGACTACCAATTCCACCAACAAAACCATGTCCATAAGCCCCACGTCTACAGGTCTTTTAAATACCTCCAGGGATGGTGACTCAACCACTTCCCTGGGCAGCCTGTTCCAATGCTTGACAACCCTTTCAGTGAATAACTTTTTCCCAATATCCAATCTGAATCTCCTTTGGTGCAACTTGAGGCGGTTTCCTCTTGTTCTATCACAAGCCAGAGGAAGTGGTCTCGTCAATTATGAGTAACCACTGAGGAGAAAGGCCACAATCTGTTGAGACACCATCACATAAGCATCCTCTCCCTATATAAGAACGGTATGTGAAAAACATCCTTTTTGAGATAGGTGATGGACATTCCAGGTCAGGGAGAAATTTCTAGCACTCCAGCCACCAGAAGAATGTAATTTCAAGTGTGTGGTTGTGTGATATAATCTTACTGTTAGACCCAGAAGCCCAGATGACATAAACACAAAGCAAAGCAAGCAAAGGACAAGGAAATGCATCTAAAAATGCATTCCTGTGGTGACTCTATGGACAAAAAAAGTCAACTTCTATAGCTTTAAAGATGAGCCTGATAATCATATCTTATTAAAAGAAGACAATACATAAGGACAAGGTAAGCATCTTGACAACTAAGACTTGTTTTAAGCCAATACTTTCAAAATTAGAGAGCTAAATGTCTAGATTGCAGGGTAAAGATACAATATGAGTCTAAATTTTAAAAATAAAATCTTTAAACCATTATCATTTCTTTAGGATAGCTATTTTTACTTTTATCTATTCAGGGCTCATATATGACGCTACACTCACTAGCTAAAGTGGTGGTAAGAAAGATTCACAACAGAGAATATATCACCAATAGATGTTTGCTGCAAGCTGATAAAATGCTTTAAGCAACAATATGAGCTGTTACAATTACACCAGTCCTGTGTATTAAAATATGGAAAATTTTAAGTTAATATTAAATTTAAATGAACTCTAAATATTTTAAGCTGTGGAAATGCACAGCAATAACACCCAAATGCTCTTTAATTTTAACTGTCATGATATCAAGGGGACAGAGGACGAGAAGTAAATGTCATGAAGATCTGTTAAATATATATCACTTTTAAAATCTCTTTTTTTGTTCAACTTTAAAAGTCATCAAAATGAATAATAATAATAAAACCCCATAGTCATACTTATTTTTTAAAACAGTTTATCACTTTGAGTCAGCCTGACACAAACTTTTTAATTTCAGAATTTTGGTAAATATGTCTAAATCTTCTAAGTATTTTTTCTAATGTTGTAACTACTCACTCCAACATAACAAAAGACCTAAGTCTGTGTAACATCAGATTTTGATTATAACTTTCCCGCTTAGGGGTTGTCTTTGCTGCTGCAATGGGATACTAATCCAGCATAAAGCAAATAAATAATAGCTTTTGTTTTCTTTTATAAACCTCATTTGGGAAAACTAAACCAAACCAAACTGACATAGTTTCATGTAAATTTGCATTGCTCACAGCTGTTTGTCTCAGGATACTTCTGCCATTACCAATGCCAGAAAAAGGATCAGCTTAATTCCAAACTCATGTACTTTTGAACAAAGATTTTTTCAAAGCAACTGGCGACATTTCAGCACTGTTAGATCCAAACCCAAGGCACAGTTAAGCTAGAGTATGAATCTTGGCCTGAACTTAAATTCAGATCCAAATATGAAAACCATTTCCATCTGCAGCATGAAAACAAAATATGTGAACAAGCAAGCAAACACACAAAAAATTAGAATGCTGTTTACATGTTAGAAGAAACCACATACCTAAACCAGCTTGCTTCCCAGAATCTTTTGTTTTTTCTTTGCTGCGAGGCCGTAAATGGCACTTTGCATCTTTAATTTTAAAACGAGCTTTCTGCTTGATTGGAGGGGCTAATGAATCTGTTGATGTAAAGTAAAAAAGCTATCATTTGGTATGCAGATAAAATTAAGTCTGAAACTTATTTTTAAAAACAGACTCAAAAGTCTTACGACATAGAAAAGATCCATTTCCATAAGCTCATTTTTTCGCATAAGCACTTACTCTTGCTCCCATTAAGATCAATGAATTTGCTAGTATTGCCTGTGCTTTGCACATACGCTTCCCCTCCAGCAGTCCTGCACATCTCGGTGGGATTCTCTTACTACGAAAAAGGTTAATTCCTACCTTTTTTTATTTTTGACTCTGTCTGTGACTTCCCATGCTACTTGTCTGTAGTTCTGCTCTTGCTAATGCCAACTAGGAATAAGATTAATTTAGTGGAGCTGCGCTGTTGGCAGTTGAAAACCATCCCAAGGCAACGTCTTTGTTTGACTGCAGTCTATGGCTTGGAAGCTTTATTCTTCACCTTTAAATCCAAGCCAGTTATGTCTTATGACTTTAAAGGCTGTTATACAGATACGTACTGCTTAGAAAATGTAGCTGCTGGATGACTTCCTCACAAAGTCCATGGTGGAAAAAGCTGGGCCTGGCCCACCACCTGCCTGCTGCTGCAGGTTGCCCATGGGACCCAGAGCAGCTGTAAGGTGATCGCAGGTAAGTGCTGCAATGTGGGTCCCTCTTTCCTTGGGAGAGCTCTGCTGAAC